AAGGAGGCTAGGGAAACCACCCTGACCACTCTGATGTTGATATGGAGATCTCTCTTCTTGGGACCAGAGACCCTGCATCTGAATGGACTACAGATAGGTTAGGTACATCTGAGAACAAAGACATTGAAGGTTGGGCCACAAAAAGGATACACCCATGCAGACCGTGCAATGGTCCAGCCACCTCTCCATAAAGCTGAGGACTTAAGAAGGTATGATGAGAACTGAGTCCAGATGAGGATGGGAAGGTGAATAAACTGTGGCAAGCCACACCAGAAGAAATCTGAGATACAGCCTTGTGTGCTGGCACAATGCCATGTGACCCAAGAGACTCAGACAGCTCTGTGTTGTCAAAACTGGAGGGGCCTTGAAGGACATTATCACACAAAATCAATCTCGTGAGCAAGGCACCAGCCTGAATGGAGTTAAGAACTGCCTCTAGATTTTTGGGGTCCTGCACTTTAGATCTTGCTTCTGCCAGTCCTTGGTGATCTCTTTCATAGATAGTTGAATTTACTAGGTATCTGAGGCTCATTGAATGGCCCACCACCATCAGTTTGTTCAGTAGGCTATGAGAGAACTTCTTGATCACCTCTGCCTGGATGCCCAGATTTGAGGTCACCCTCTTTAATTGGTGAGCTTTGTGGTTATCCTAAGGGGAAAGCACACCAAGGGTCATTCAAGCCTCGCCTGGAGATGAGTAGGAGGAAGGCAGCACTGGCTGGGGGGCCCTCCACCCCTCTTTTCATTTTGGCCCACACTCACAAGGCCTGCTTTTGAAGTTCAGTGCTACAGTGGTGAAGTCTACAATGAGACTATCAAAGATAGTAAACAATCCTGGTACCAGGCCATAGCTGGGGGCAGATGGTTTCCCTGTCACTCAGTGGCACTGGTGGCATCCATTACTGCACTGCCGAAGACCGAGACATTAGCAATGACAGGAGGTCCTTGGCTCTGTGAATGCCTCGCGCTGACAGCATTATAAACACACTGGAACCATGTTGCCTGTCTGAGGTGGGTGCCTCCCACGCCAGCAGAACCTGTGTATGTTATTGACTGTTGAGGTGCTGAGGTGGAAGATTGGCTTAGCATGGATCTCACTTTATCCCGCTGACTTTAGTGCTGGGGACTGAACTCTCTCAAGCTGCTCCTTATTTTTCTTTTAGGCACTGGAGAGGGATTGGTGCTGAGACTCCTGCCTGATAGGCAGAGTGCTCTGCACTGATGCCAAATTACTTATACCAAGCCCAAGTGATTCAGCTCTGAAGCAGGGCTCAGAGTTTTCTCCATGAGAATGACTTTCAATCTCACTTCCTAGTCCTTTTTTGTGAGAGGTGTAAAGTCCCTATAGATCTAGCAGTACTGCTGCCTATGAACCTC